TTTGTTTATTAATGCATATATATATATATGTATATATATATATATATATATATATATATATATATCAACCACCAGGTAACCGATGTTAAATAGTACAGCTAAATAATAGGATTATTTAGCTGTACTATTTAACATCGGTTACCTGTTAGCTAAATAATCCTTTTATTTAGCTAAATAATCCTTTGGCTCAGGAACCCAAACTCTCCATTCTGCCTAAATGAGATAAAGTCATTTAGACACTTTATCTGATCCGTGTTTTTTTTAAGAAATACTTTGGAATTGTCAAGAAAAAGAAGCTCATGACTTCAGCTATGACTGCATTTCCCTGAATGGGATTCAAGAAATGTGTTCATCCAGTCCCACCCAATCCTCAGCTGCTGACTCATTCTGTAAAGCAGTTCTTAAAAACAGGAGCTAAAAATACACCGAGGGATGTGATGGACGTTCACTTTCTATAAACTACGAAACAGTGTAAAAGATGCACCAGTTACCACCAGAGAAATGACTGATTACAGTGGCTCAGTCACTTGATGGCAAAGAAATATTTTCTGACTAAAACATTATCTAATGAAGCAACTAATTTCTCTTTCCCCCCCAATTTTTTTTTTTTTGGGTTTTTTGTTTTTTTTTTTTTTTTTTTTTTTTTTTTTACAAAGAGTTGCCATTAAAACTTAGTAGTTAAACCATTTTGTACTCTATGTATTAAACAATTAGCTTTGATTGATTTTTTTTTGTTATCATTAAATGCAGCTGAAACTAAAACAATAAAATCAAAACTGCTATGAAATGAAGACCTGGTTGGGGATACATTGCTACTGTCGTCTTTAATGATAGGAAATCTACTTCTCTCTACTTGTGTTAACTCAGTTCTGTTCCTTTTAACACGATTAACCAGTAACAGGGGTTACTTTGAAACAGAACCGGCCATTATTTTAATCTGTGCTCTGAGCAAAGATGAATCTCATGACTTGCAGCCGTTGAAGGTTTTAAAGGTCACAGCATGACTCTATCCGTCCTGCATCTGTATCACTGTTGCTGTTTCGCTATCTCAGTTCAACTTCATGTTTCAAAACCACAGTTCATGTTAGCAAGATAAGTATAATAATATATTTTAATAATATTATTATTATTATTCAATAAACCATTTATACGTTAAGGATATGTGATGTGTGAAATTATATAGGCCTCTTTACTACATGTCCTATTCACAGTTCTATTTGTAATAATTTCTTAACCAGCTGTAACTTGTTTCCAATAAATTACTCAGTTTTAATTAGATTTGAACAGTTACCCAACAGAGGAAACTGCACATCATAATCCTCAACGCTAATTCACAACAAGAGTCAGTTTATAAGGATCTTAACAAGACAAACAGGTTCAAGTCATGTCCAGTTCATCAAGTTCATTTGGGTCCAAAATCTGTTCATATTGATCCTGTT